GCGCATCCGCTTTGTCAGTTCGGTGCAGCGCAAACAGTAGCACAACGACCAACACGAACCATTTCCCACCAAAAGCACTGACACGCCATTACGGCTTCAGTTTGGAAGGCAGCAACAACAACAATCAACGGACAGCTATTAGTTAGATTTAATATTTAAATAATAAGTACTGCCCTTGTATTTTGTCTTTTTTCGTGCGCACTTGTAGTGAACGGCTGCCCTACATAGTAAGAAAATAAATAATAAATTAAAATCGAGTGTCTCGTGTTTTACTTATACTCGAGTACCTCTACCAAGTACCGAGTATTTTTTGCACTTAGATACGCGTGTGCAAGTACTTCATTGGTATCGAGTACAAAGTGCAAGTATTTACTTGTTTGCTAAATTTGGGAAAATCAACTGAAAATAGGTCTGTGTTGTAGTTTTTGAAAAAAAAAAAACGATAACCACTTGATTTTGCTTGGCTTAAAACTAAAAGAACGATTGAAAATGGAAAACAAAAGTAATAATGCAGGATGTGGAGCGAGTGATTTTCGTCAGCATCGTCTAGAATTCGTTTTGAAACAGAAGAATCAAACCAAGTGAGCGATTAGCTTTCTCAATACGTAACGACTCCTTTTCATAGAGCTGGAAAACTATCGATAGTCTGCACCATCGATAGTCACCGATACTATCGACACAAACCATCGATAGTTTTCGATACTATCGGTGTTTTTTACATCGCTTTTTTTTAGTTATAACAGCAACATAAAAATTTATTTTACTTCAAACTGCACAGAAAAACAGATTATAAAAATATTCGATATGCATGCATACATACATTCATTCACTAGATTGAGTATACGCTGATTTGTTTAAATATTCGGAATGTTTTTCATGTTATGTTTCTATTGTTATTTTTTTGATTAAAATATGGCTTATATTTTAACAAACACCATATAAATCCAAGTTTCAAAGTTTGTAATTATTCTACAAATACTCATCAAAATCTCAAACCTAATTAATAAGAATTTCTACAAATATATTTAGTATGCAGTTTTATAACCCTATCAATTTTAGTACAATAATGTGGAAATTTCAAGTATCTTAAAATTCGTGTTTATAATTCTGGGAGTGCTTTGAATGGAAGAATATGCGCAGCGCCGTCACAAAAAAAAATATGAAAAGAATCTTAAGACAGTTAAAATTTGCACATTATTGTACTAAAATTGATGGGGTTATAAAACTGCATACTAAAAATATTTCTAGAAATTCTAATTAATGAGTTTGAGATTTTGATGAATATTTGTAGAATATTTACAAACTTTGAAACTTGGATTTAAATGGTATTTGTTAAAATATAAGCCATATTTTAATAAAGATCAACAATAAACATATAACATGAAAAACATTGCGAATATTAAAAAAAAATCGGCGTATACTCAATTTAGTGAGTGGCTGTACATACTTATTCCAATTTTGAAATCTTAGTTGAACATAAATTTTTATGTAAAAATGCGAGCATGTCTACTGTTTCTGGCTTTAGACTTGACCTTCGATCGTTGACTATCAATCCGGCTGTGCTGAAAACTCGCTCAGATTCTACTGAAGATGACGGTATACACAAATCCTTTCGAGCAAGTTGAGCCAAGACATCTTTTGGTTTAGCATTTGCCTTAAAATAAATGTAATATTTATGTAAAAAATGCGTTAGTTAAAAAACTATTACCTTCCAGTATAACAATGGATTAGTATCCCCATCACAATTTTCTAGCTCCAGATATTGTCTCCTAGTTATGATAGCATCAACATTAGTAGTTCGATTTTTTCTTTGCCGCCTTTGGGCCAAGAAATATAGAAGAGTGTTCGAACTTTCTTCTTTTGAATTTGTGTCATTTTCATTAACTTCGTCGTTACTGTGACGCTTCATATGAATGCTTTCAATGACAATTTCGCTGTCTAAAAGCTTAAGAGCCTCTTCAGCATTTGATTCTTGTCTAAATCCGTCCTTTTTGAATCTGGCATCCAAAAGCGTGCTAATCCTGGTGACTGTTCTAGATTCATATGAAACTAAACGTACTTGCATTCTGGTTATAATGGCCCGTAGTCATAGTCAAAATAAAGTCGACTTTAAAGTTAGTTGCAGTTTTTTGACATAATTTTCAATGAGATATCTGTCAAAAAAGCTGGAACTAACTTTAAAGTCGACTTTATTTTGACTATGACTACGGGCCAATGAAATTTGCGACAACACCTCCTTCCTCTGTAACCAACTTTTTCTGAATGTCATTCAGGGAGACGAACATTCCACAAATTAACGGATTGATTAGAGATACGGTCACATTACTCGAGCTTGATAATTGCCTGGTTGCCTCTTCAAAGGGCGTTAGAATAAGCACCAAATCATTTAAAACCAAAGCTTCTTCATTTCGCAACGGCTCTGGAGCTCTATCTAAATCCAAAAGACACGTATTAACTGAATTTTTCAATTCCATAATTCTTTTTATCATGGCCAATGAACTGTTCCAGCGCGTTGGAACTTCCTGTATCAATTTCAAGGGCTCATTACAATTTTGTTTTTCCTTTAATTTTTCTGTAGCAATGTTACTACTTTTAAAAAATCTAACGATATTTTTACATTTTGAAATAATACTTTCGATTGAATTCAATTTTAGTGTGTCCTGTATTATTAGATTAATGGTATGAGCCATGCATGGCAAGTGCCTTTTTTGCAGGTTTGAGCACATTTTTATCATTGTGCTGTCGTTATCTGTCACAATACAAACTATCTTATTAGTAATTTGATACTCGTCAAATACTGATTGCATTGTTCTTGTGATGTTATCGGCCTGTTTATTTGTACGGTCTAACAGATGTTTGGTGGACAACACGTAACATTTCAAATCAAAATCGTTTGTAATGAAATGACTTGTCACAGTAAGATATCCATCATTAGCCCTTGAGCTCCACATGTCGCAAGTTATTGCAATATGCGCGACACTCTCCAGTTCATTTTTAATCAGGATTTTGATTTCATCATATTGCGATTTTAATAGTTTATTTTTTAGAGTTGTTTTGCAAGGTAACTCATACCTCGTGTCTAAAACACGAACAAAATTTCGAAAGCCTTCATCGTTAACTATTGAAAATGGTTGATAATCTTGGCACACCATTAATGCAAGCGCGCGATCGATTTCCTTCTTTCTTGACGAATTTTGATCATATCTCGGTGCGGTTTTGATAAAAAAGTCAAGTGTACTGAAGATGCATTAATGAAATTATATCAAAAAGGCGGAATAGTAACTATTGGAACACAATACGGATAACACAGGAAATACGGCTCAGAAACTCGGTTAGCTGTTGCTGATTCAGCCTAATATTTGTTGGAAAGACTAATATTTTCATGACATTAACTTCTTGTGTAGGCTCGTCTGACCGTATCACCCGTGTTAACCGAGCTGCCGATCCGTATGCCGCTTCTTAAAAAAAATTTCACCAACAAAATACCTTTGCGATCAAGACGCGGTCGACGATGTAGTGCTACTGCTGCTGGTGGTGGCGTTGCTCCGCATACTGCTTCTAATACCGTCGCACCTAGACATGTGGTCTTTTAAATTGCTCGTATTTCCACAGTGTGCATATTCTTTTTCACAATACGTGCACTTAGCTTTTGTATCCTTTTTCTTAAAATATTTCCACACATCCGATATTCTGGGCTTTTTAACTTTTGGCGGCGAAAGTGACTCACCCTCGTCAATGCTAATAATGTCGTCCATCTTTAAAATAGTTTCATTTGTTAATTGAAATTATACAGAATGCTTATTTAATTATGTATGCACATATTTAATTCCTTACCGTTTCAGAAATCAATACGTTTAATCACAAATTCAACAAAATCACAAGCTTACGAACAATTTGAATTCCGCGTAAAGGAAGAGAAGTGAATAATATAAACATCGATAGTTCGATAGTCGCTGGACTATCGATAGTACCAAACTATCGATAGTGGTGTCGATAGTATCGATAGTTTGCCAGCTCTACCTTTTCAGCACTTTCAAGTAACCTCATTTCAAAGTAGGAGGATATCAAAAGGCATTTTTTCCGCTCTTCATAATGCCGAGCTTCCACTACAAAATGACAAAAAAATTATGCCATTTGAAAAAATTCCATGTGGAAATGAAATTAAATACTATTCTTGTCATTTGTCATTTTTGCCATTAAATGCCTAGTGGAAATCCAGCGTAAGCCTTTCTCCACTGTATGTTGCTATATTGTGAAGGGTCGTTAAACTAAAATTTCTCGTCTGTGTAAATACTTTCGAATACAAGTAGAATTGAGTAGCCCTAACGATACTTCGAGTAGCATCGAGTATTCCTTTTGATACTTTTAATGAGTGCAGGCATCGAGTACATGCTGGTATCGGACCAACACTAGTTATGATGGATAAGAAAATAAAGGATAATCTAATCTAAATTTGAAAATCTTACCTCCACCTGCCAGTTAAACATCGTTATCGACGTTATCGGCACCAAGCCTATAACATGTGATCGACTGCTTTATCGATCTTAACTGAAGGATGTACCTCCAGTTAGCGTTCACTAGACATGGTGCAAACGGCCCTAAGATGCCCATAGGCACTTTTTATCACAACACAAATAGAAAGCCAAAATCAGAGCACAATATAGGTACAACCTCACAGCTTGACGTTTGCAACAATTAAAACTATTACTTGCATTTGGTTTTACTCAATACCAGGCCAACAAGTTTAATTTTGTTGCATAGTGTAATAAATGATGGCAAGAGTACATGTAGTATTGAAAAGTTATTTAAAGCTCTGGGAGCCGTTTGCTCAAGTAGTTTAAAAATTTTTTTTTAGAATAAAATTTATGTTTGAATACCAGACACATTTTAAAACCTACATGAGAAAACGAAATGGGAAATGCTGATAAATTTGTTAGTTTAGTTTTAAGGGAACCAACTAGATGTATATATTTATGTAATTATTTCTTCCCAAATATTAGGCCAATGATTTGGAATCAGCCAAAGGCATTTTGTCCGTAATGAAGCAAGCTAATTTAGAACCCAGTGCTGATACCTATACAACGCTTTTGTGTTGCTATGCTCGTCATGGTGATATCGACGCTATACTTCGTACATTAGATGAATGCGAAAAAGCGGAAATATTCTTGCTTGATAAAGATCTGATGGATATCGCTTATGCGCTGAGTATTCATGGACATGCAGATAAAGTGGATGCAGTGCTGACGAGATTACGCATATCAACAGGCTTCAATCAGGATGCTGTGAATGTTATACTACGCTTGGTTAATAAAGGATATGAGGATGTTGGAGTAAAAATTTTGCGAGTAATGCCACGTGGCACCCGTCCGGATGGTCAATTAGTGGATACTGGCACTTTCTTCATCAAGCAGCTTGTCAAAGTCAATCGACCCGTGGAAAAAATCTTAGGCATTTGCAAAACTCTAAAAGATGAAGGTAAGTCGAATATATAATAATATAATCCGTATATGTAAGTCAAATCCTTTTTCAGGTCTGAATCCAAAAGCTCTTTTGATCGCTACCGAAGCTGGGCTTAGTAATGGTGTGGTTTCAAGTGCACTTCCGTTATTGCATGAACTGAAAAAGTCAGGCTGGCCTATCCGCCAACACTACTTCTGGCCCTTGATTTGCTCCGCGGAATCGAATCAAATTATCAACATAATACGTCACATGCAAGAGGAATTCGCTCTTAATCCGAATTCTGAGACTTTACGTGACTACGTTATCCCTAATTTGAAAGAAAAAAACTGGGAAAAAATCGTCACAATCTTGCGTGGTGCTGGCATATCGACTGCTAATGCAGCGGCTTCTGCTTCTTACGCAGCATTGACAATAAATCAATTGAAGTCCACAGCCAACATTATGGAATCATTTAGAGCATATTATTCACCGCAGATATTCAGACAACCTTTGATTCATGCCTTATCCACTACCAACGACTATGCCTCCTTTATTCGTGTTTTAAGACAGCTATACGAAAGCGTTCAGAGTCGTTCAGCAGGCTCTCAGCGTACTGAACCCGAGGAGAGCTCTGATTTCGAGATTGAAGCTGCCGTTGGGGCTTCTAATCAAAGTTTCGATGTTGTTGGTTCTGTGCTGAATGACGTTTGTACCTATTTCCGCCGTAACAGAATTGAGGTATTAGACAACATTCTATCAGCGTTGGTAAAAGAGGGGTTGCCCATTAGCAATACAAATGCGTCGCGGATTTCAGATCGCTTGAATTCAGAAATGACAACAAAAATTTCTGAGAACTTGGCTAAAATTTCCTCGGGCAAATTAGAGCTTATTCCCCTTCAAAATGCAGAACCGCGCAAGCGTAGTCTGGATTCTTTGACAGTGGAAGGTAAGTTTCAGTAGATTTCCTTGCTTCAATATTTAATTTAAAAAGTATACTTTTTCTAAGAGCTTGAGCGCTTCATCGCCAATATCGAAGCGAAAGGTGAAAATACAAACAATTTGAAACGACAACTACTGAATGCATGTTTCCGTGCAGGTAATTTAGATAAAACATTGCAAGTTATAGCAAAACTGGAAGCTGAAAAGTTTACCATTCCTATCGGGATATGGGCGCAACTGATTGATTTATATGCAATGGAAAATAAGACAGTAGAAGCTTTGGAGCTATACGCGAAAATAAAAGCGAGAGATAATCAATTCGTGTTGGACAATCTGAAAACAGTAAACATTGCGAAACTACTTATTGTTGAAGAGCGATTTGAAGAAGCACTTGAATTCTTAGACCGTAACAAGAAATCGGAATTGATTGCCGAAACCGAGGGTTCATTTAGCTACACCTCGACTGTGTGGCGTTTGTTGAATACAATAGCCGAAGCCGGCAACGCCGAGAAATTGCAGCAACTATTTGATGCATTAGTCGGTGGAAAATATATCTATCCCACCAATGTACTATTGGGTCCATTGATAAAAGTATGTATGCCTATTTTTTTTAGATAATTTTGATGATAAAGTTGAAACTTTTATTGCACTTTTTTACAATAAGGTGCATCTTACAAATGACAACATACCTAAAGCTATGGAAGTATTTGAGCAGATATGCGAAAAATACAAGTGCACACCTTGGAAGAATGATCTTGCATGTCGTCTCATACAGAAAGAGGACGCCGCTAATCTGCAGAAGTTGACTGATTTAAGTACAAATATTCATGGGGAAGTGAACAGTCTATATGATTTAGTATTTTCATTTGTCGAATGTGGACGCATACGCCAAGCAAGAAAGATTTTAGAAACTCCTGGACTTCGTACACGCCCACAACGTATCAACTACGCTTGCGAACGTTATAAGAATGAAGGCATGGTAGAACCCTTGGAAGGCTTGGTTGAAGCGACGAAGGATCTTAATCATATCGATCGCAACAAAATCTACTACAACTTATTGCTGAGCTACTGTAAATCGGATGATGCGGAAAAGGCTTTGGGACTTTGGACGAAAATGCAGGAGGAAAATATAGCACCAAATGACATTTTCCTAATAAAATTGGCAGAGCTATTAAAAAAAAAGAACCTGGACGTTCCATTTGTTGTACCAAAACAAAGAGCAGCGATCACGCTTGCACCCAAGAGAATTAAAAAAATTGAACCAGATAACAGCGCAATGAGCGCATTTTCCCAGCCACAAACAAATTTGTCGCTCTTACGGAAAGCTATCAACAGCGGAGATATTGATGCTGCACTCAGTCTTAAGAATCAATTACAGCCTAATGAATCTGCGAGCGTCACGGATCTATCTCATCTGATTGAGCATGCGGTACGCGCTGAACGTTTGATAGATGCTACAAACATCGTAAATGAGGTGTTAGCCGAAAATCGATATCCAATACCGAAAATTTTCAAATTTTATTTAAATAAAATCGCTGCGTCTGGCGATGTAGACACTTTGACGAGGATTGGAGATAAACTATCCGATGAAGAAAAGAAGATTGTTTCTTTTGATAACCGTTTTTGTCACGCAAATATTGTAGCTGGTAAAACGGATCAGTACTTGCGGTCATTGTATGATCAAATTGCTGCAGCAAAGACTGCAGAAGTAGCTGCTAAACTGGCTGATCAATTTCCACGTGGTGGCGCTCTGGGAATTTTGCAGCAAAATCCCGAATCATTATCTTTATGTACGTATTTCGGTAACATTCTTTATTATAGACAGGTTCTAAATTAGCATATGTATTATTTTTTAGTCGAAAAAATTGCTGAGAAATTCGCTGAACATAAACAATTGGGACCTGTAAATGTACTTTGGATGCATTTGCTCTCACAAGGCAATGAGGCTGCGTCGAAATCCATTTGGAATAAATATCTTTCAAACGCACCTCGTCTGATGTTCCAACGAGTTTTGCAAACAGCTCGCGAGCAAAAAGACGAAAAGTTAGCCCAAACGGTGATTAGCCAGTTGCGAGAATCAAAGATCTCGGAAGGAGCCATTGGCAATGCCTACTCTTGTCTGATTGACATACATACTACAAATAACAATCTAAATAAAGCGCTGGAAACGCTCAAAACAGCAATTAAAGATATATGTTTAGAGAATATAAATCGCACTGCGCTCTTGAGACTAAAAACTGCTCTCCAAGAGCAGAATAGAGACTTTCCCTATGAAATCCCTGAAAAGAAAGCTTTAAAAGAAAGTAGTACCAGCTCACAATCGTCTGACGATGATGTAACTCCGAAGCGACCTGAGACAAGACCGATTACACGGCCAAATAAGTAAATAAGCAGTATCAAAAATGTTCGTAGTCTTTAATATTACCAATACATGTAGCTTTTTACTTTAAATAAATGCTAAGTACTTCCTGATTATGTAAATCTATTTATGATATATCTTCGGACTCCAAGGACACATGACTTTGAAATTTGGGGAGAACATCTATGGTAAATGTATACAAATGTATTTATACAAGAAGCCTTGGCGTTTATAGTGAACTGAAAGAATTTGAGAGTTTACTAGACGCGTGGCACCTCAAATAAATGTAATAGATTCAGATAACCATAGTCTTTGACCCATTACGAACAGACAGCTAAACGGAATGTCCCGTTGTAAACTAAAAAGGGATGAGAGTTTACAAGAAATCGTAGCACTTCTCACCACGCGTGCCGTCTACGTTAAGAGAATATCAATTTAAAAATTAAAGCGCATTTAATTTTTCTTTAGGTACCTTGGTCCACCTAACCTTAATAATGTAGTAAAGAAAATGATGAAATATGGGTTGCAGCAACAATTATTACTGAATGCGATCATTCCCACGGCAGCCGGTTCTACGTACCGGAATGACTGAGCCCGACCAAGCGCTGTTGTTTCGGCGATCTAACCCCGTTTAGGTCGGCGAAGTATCTCAGAAGTTGTTCGTCCATAGGGCTACATTCGCTACGTTTTCTTCTACTCAGGGCTGGCATCGAGTCAAACCCAGGACCAGAAACCTACACCTGCTGTGTATGCCAGAGACGACTACACCACAACTCCACCTCAGTCAAGTGCAATGCTTGCGAGGGGTGGAGTCACCTCAGAGTCTGCTCAGGACTACGGACACATCGGCAGTGGACCACGTCGTTTGTGGCCCCCTGCTGCTCAAACAGCAGCATCCACGGCTAACCCCAGTCCACCTGAGCAGTCCCACACAAACATCACAGCACAACAACATAACATAATAGACCACACCACAACCGCGACAGACCACAGAACACACACAACCGCGCCACCACCCCCACGCCGCCACCAACAACTCTTGGTTCCTCCTACAATCTGCACGGTATGTCAGACCAGGATATTCCGTAATGTGACATCAGTCAAGTGCAACACCTGCCTTGGCTGGTGCCACTTTAGGGCATGTTCAGGTCTGCGCACCACGCGAGAATGGACGAGGAACTTCGAGGGCCCGTGTTGCGCTGCACGGTCGCAAACCTCAACCGCGACGCCACCCACCACCACAGGGCGGCAACCACCTCAGCAGCGCACACAGCCAATGGCGACACGACCACACACATCTCTCACACCCCGCATCACAACACGTTTCCCGAACCACATGAAGCTCCTTCAATTTAACTGCAACGGGCTTCAGAGCAAGATCGAGGAGATAACCGTCTTTATGGGAAGGCATGGTGTACTGATAGCTGCGGTCCAAGAGACGAAGTTGCACAGCAATTCAACATTGTTGAATTGTGCCGGGTACAACGTGCACCGTCGAGATCGCGAGCGAGATAATGGTGGTGGCTTAGCGTTCATCACGCACCACACCGTGCAGTATCGTCTTATCGAAGCAGACATCGACCGCAGGGATACCACCCTAGAATTTCAGGGCATTGCATTCCGGTCAGGCGATGTTGAGCTCGAAATATTCAACGTTTATATACCCCCTGTCAACTGCTGCCCGGCAGGATATCACCCTGACATAGGTGCGCTCCTCAGAGGTGAAAACCGAATGGTAGCAGGTGACTTTAATGCGCACCACGATCTTTGGCACTCAAATCTGTCAAACGATCGTAGGGGAACAGATTTGGCTGAGCATATAAACGATTCGACATTCTGCACAATGAACGACGACGCACCCACCAGGATTATGGGCAGCTGCTGCAGCTCGCCAGACATGACAATAGTCAGCGCTGGTCTGATAAACAGCATATCATGGCGACCTATGCTGACCTTGGCATCAGACCATCTGCCCATAGTCATCTCGATCGATAAACCAATCGACTTTGCTTCCGCGGAGCATCGAACCTTATCAACTTCTCCAAAGCTGATTCGATAGGCTTCGCGGAATTTACTGAAAACACCTTCGCTGCTCTCCCCACACCAAACGACGTCCCCCTTGGTGAACGTAAGTTCCGCAGGGCTGTCACCGCTGCTGCAGCTCAGGATGCATCACTGACCCACGTCTAAATTTCCCTGCCGAAGCGGCTGTTCTAGCCTATGAGCGTGACAGCCTTCGTCAGGCCGATCCCGGAGATCCCCGTATCATGGATCTCAACGCGGAGATTCGGCAACTAGTGAACGCACATAAGTGGAAGAATATCTGAAGACCCGTAACTTCACCTCTGGTGTGAGTAAGCTTTGGTCAACCGTGAGGTCACTGTCCAACCCGACGAAGCACGACGACAGAGTCGAAATTTCTTTCGGCGACCATGCCTCGTCAGAACCGGAGCGATGCGCGAGCTAGTTTAGCCGGCAGTTCATACTGCATCCTCCGGTGGACAAAACCAAGCGTCGAGTGACCAGAAGGCTGCACAAACTGCCAACAAATTGTGCCCCCCTTGCTTTCACCTGCGGTGAAGTTCAGGTGGCCATCGGGAAGGCGAAAGCCTCCAAAGCCATGGGTCTCGACGGAATATGCATGCTGATGCTGAAAAATTTGGGTCCTGCGGGAGTAGCGTACCTAATGGAGGTCCTTAATTTGTCTATGGCCACTCTCATCATCCCAGACATCTGGAAGGTGGGGAGAGTGGTCCCACTGCTCAAACCGGGGAAACCCGCCAACAAAGGAGATTCGTATCGACCGATAACACTCCTTTTCCCGATAGCGAAGACACTTGAGGCCCTGCTGCTCCCGTATTTCACGAACCACCTGACCCCAGCGATGCATCAGCATGGTTTCCGTAAAGTGCACAGTACAACAACAGCACTTAACGCCATAAACACTCAGATAACTCGTGGCCTTAACCGTAACCGTCCCCGTGAGCGAACGATTCTAGTAGCGTTGGACCTGTCAAAGGCTTTTGACACTGTCAGCCATTCCACGCTACTAGAAGATATAGAGGCCTCCTCTCTCCCACAGAGGCTCAAACGGTGGTCGGCAAATTATCTGAGTGGTCGACATTCGTCGGTAATGTTTAGAGACAAAACGAGTAAGCAGCGAAAAATAAAGCAGGGGGTTCCTCAGGGTGGTGTCCTTTCCCCGCTACTGTTCAACTTTTATATTTCAAAGCTCCCTCAACCACCAGAGGGAGTCTCGATTGTCTCCTACGCCGACGATTGCTCGATTATGGCGACTGGGAATGGAATTGATGACCTGCAAAGTGTCTAGCCCTCTGCCCTACGAAATCCTCTGCGACCCTGTTCACCACCTGGACGAAGGACGGCAGGCTACCGCTGGGAATTCACGTCGATAATACACCAATTCCGACGGTGAATAACCCCAAAATACTCGGAGTAACATTCGACAGCCTGCTCTCCTTCTCTGCGCACGCAACCGCTATTGTCAACATAGTACAGAGCCGCAACAAAGTCCTCAAGTCGCTAGTCGGCAGTACCTGGGGCAAAGACAAAGAAACGTTGCTGGCAACATACAAGGCAATAGGCCGACCGGTATTAAACTACGCAGCACCATGGGGTCGCCGGGGACTAGTAGGACGCAGTGGATGAAGCTACAGACAGTACAAAACACAGCACTCAGGACAGCGACCGGATGCCTCCTGATGTCACCAGAACACCACCTCCATGATGAGGCGAAAAAGCTCCCAATTAGGGAGCATAACACGATGCTCTGCAAGCAGTTTCTGGTTGGGAGCCACAAATGTGGCCACCCAAACAGACAGCTGCTTGCAGAGGAGCCCTCGCCAAGGCACGTCAGGAGGCATCTATATGAACTAACGGCCGAAGTCCAGAGGTTCGTTAAGCAGCCTCTGGACCCGTCAGCATGCCAACAGGCCCTGAACGGCATTCACAGGGACTCAGTCTCGAGTTATGTAGACTCAAGACCTGTGAATGCCGTTCTAGGCACAAAAACACCTACATAACTCGAGACTGAGTCCCTGTGAATGCCGTTCTAGGCACAAAAACACCGGACATTGACGCGACAGAGCTCCATCTGCCTCGGGAGACTAGAACAACAATAGCCCAACTTCGCTCTGGCTACTGCAGCAGGCTAAACTCTTACCTGAGTAGGCTAAACACGGATGTGCCGAATGAATGTCCGGCATGCGGAGAGACCCATCACGACTCGAAACATCTCTTCGCATGCCCGGACAACCCTACAACCCTAACGGCGTCGTCCCTGTGGACCGACCCCATTGAGGCTGCACGCTTCTTGGGGCTGCCGTTAGTGGAACTCGACGACAACGACTGAGATATCAACCGGTCTGGGCGGGGTTGTTGTAGCCGCTACAACAACAAAAACAACAACAACAACTGGATACGATAAAGGAGAATATGTGTTTCTGTCCTATTTATTCCCACATATGTACCTTCCATTTTAGTTTAAAAGTCTTCAGTATTGTCTGAGGTTTTGCTTTGATATATCGAGCCCTAACCGCCAAAATAACGTAAGCGACATTTTTTTCAAAATTTTCTTTTTGATGCAGAAATATTCCTAGAGCATCTAGATGCATCGCTATGCAAATGTCAGTAAGAATTAGCCAGTACCAAAATTCAGAGAATGAGGTATCTTAAAGCTTAAACAGACGGCAGCTTTGATCCGGACTAACTCGGACCTAATCCGGATCAACTGCAGTTAATTCCCGAGTTGATCCGGATCAACGCTGCCGTCTGTTTACGCTTTTACTCTCCCAAAGAGAGAAACTTGCGGAGTTTTGCGCGAACAGGTATTAGCAAGGCGCATCCATACAAGGTGGTGGTGATTGCATATAAGTAAAGTCCCGTGTATTTTGTTATTGCTTTTTGGTACAGGAGGATGTCAAAACGAAAGGGAATAGGAGATTATTGTTGACATTCTAAAGTTGCGCCGCTTTTTCTTGGATGACAATCTCCTGTACTAGTGTAGCGACAAAAATATCCAATCAGATGATCAATCAACACCACCTTGTATTGATGCGCCTTGGGAATTAGCAAACATTTCCAAGCTTCACTGGCGTCCACG